CACACACACACACACATACACACACACACACACACAAACACACATACACACACACATGCACACCCACAAACAAGCCTTAAGTATTTTCAACGTTTCAGCACCAACATTCGGAATAGTAACAATATGCGGCAGAAGGTAATGCTGCAGATGCACAGCTCTTTCCTTCTCCGACCCCACCCCCTTTTTCCAAAAGAAAGAGGAGAAAAAAGAAAAGTCTGCTACCACCAGCATCATCCCCGACTCCATCAAACCATTCGACCCGAATGAGGCTCACAGTAACTTCGTTATCTCATTTTTATCGGATTAGATGTTGTTGCAAGGGGATTCTGTTGCCTTAGTGTTTTCGTGTTTATTTTATTAAGTCCAACATAATTTGCACACGAGCGAAACTAACGCACATTCAGTAAGCTCGGTGCGCTCTTTTGTGCATTCCATTCGATCACATTAGCAGAGCGATTTGCACGAAATGGACTGCTCCAGTGTTGCTTGTTACGATTATTCTTTGACAGTAAGAAACCTTTCCTTCCTTTTCCAGCTATCATTATACTTCAGTGCTGTTCGTGAAAATTGTGTAATTTTGCTTTAGAAAAGGAGAGACAATAAACGAAAAATTATTTTTGGGTGAACACCGGTTTCTTATTCACATTCCACAAACAACGTTCTGGGTTTTAAAAAATCATGTACAGTCATGAGGAAAGAACAATGAAGGAAAGAAGAGATAAAACACGTACACATGGATAAGTGAGAGTGACTTTTCTTTCTTTTTTTTTTTTCTTTGCACCATTTTCTCTTATTTCCCACGTCTGTGGTTAGTCCCCCACTCCAGTACAAGATGGCTCCGGGCCAGGGAATATAATATTGTTTTTTCCCGCCTAAACGACCAGGAACCAGGACCGGCGCAGCTACCCGCTCATGGTTCATAATTCATTAGACTTGTTCTCTTCTCTTCTTGTGTTGTTCAAAAGGTCGAAGCGGAACTTGTTACGGCTATCTTGTTTCAACTTAGTTTTCTAGACAATTAGTTCGGATGAATTTGGTCTAAGCATCTTATTATGTCACTTAGACTGTGAGTGCAACCATTTACCCTTCCCGACAGTCAAGGAACAGAGTCTAGAAGCAATGAAAACACGCAACAGTATAAAAATAGCTGATGTGCGGCGTGCCAGACGGAAATGATTGAACACGTTTCCATCTGGTCTAAATTGATTGCCAAGTGGCTGGAAATTGTGCTCAGATTAACTTTCAAAGAAGATTTTTGTTTATGACTTACGCAATACCTGAATTGCTCGATTTTGAGAGACCATGTTACCCCTGAAATGTGTAGGAAAAACGAGTAGTTGCGAGTAGCCCCTAATGTTGTCGACTGGACAAAGTCGGTGAGGTGTCAAAATAGAAAGGGGAAATCCTCTATCAACAGTAAGTTGTCCTCTGCACCACTGAATTTCCCCCCGCAATGCCCCCTCTCCCACCTCTCTCTCTCTCTCTCTCTCTCTCTCTCTCTCTCTCTCTCTCTCTCTCTCTCTCTCTCTCTCCCTTCCTCTCTCTATCTATTTATCTAGTTATCTATCTGTCTATCTTTCCATCTATCTCTCTCACTCTCCTTCTTTCTCTCTCTCGTTCTCTCTCTTTCTCTCTCTTTCTCTCTCTCTCTCTCTCACACACACACATACACACACATACACACACAAACACAAACACACACACACACACAAACACACCAACATTATAATCTTCTCATTCTCTCTATCACATACACACTCTTGGTGCAAAATATGTTTCGGAAATATATGACGTCGTTTGAACTTCAACAAACAATACTCACCTTGGCTTTTGTGCTCGCCACTCGTTCCTTGAGAGAGGTCAGAAGCTTGTTGGCTTCACTGGACTCCACTGTAAACTTCGTGGCTTCTCGACTGTTCTTTTTCTCCTCCGCCTTCTTTCTCTTTTGATCGTCATAACTCTTAAAATATATAAAAGATATTTTGCCGTAAATGTGATCAGGTAACGTATGGTAGTAGTAGTAGTAGTAGTAGTAGTAGTAGTAGTAGTAGTAGTAGTAGTAGT